GGTTTATGTTGGATCTGATCCTCTAACCTTTTTCTTCTGGTCCTTCGGTCCGGGGGTTTCTTGGTCCCGTGGTCCCTCCGCCCCTCCCCGCGGTTTAAGCCGTGCAAGCCGGGCTTCAACAGCGCAGGCTAAGCCGTGCAAACTTGCATCACAGCATATGAATCCTACCAAGCCCAGCACGCGAGCATTGTGTTTGCAAAAGGGGGGGCTGGCCCCACCCAACCCCCCCAACTTAGGTTACTTCCAAAAGCATATGAATCTTTGCCAAACGCATCGTGCGGAGGCATTCGGTTACTTCCAACAGCATACGGACCTTCACCTGCGAGCATTGCGTTTGCAATACGCCGGACTGCCCCCCTGACCAGCCACCCCGCTTTTTTAAGCCGTGCAAACTTGCTGTAACAAGAAGAGTTTCTGAATTCACACCAGCATTGGTTTTGCAAATGGAGTGGGCTGCACTCCGCCTAAGCCGTGCAAGCTTGCCTCGAATCAACCAAGCTCAAGAGAAGACTCCAAGCCTAGCCAAGCCAAGGTGCAGATAACCTAAACAAAGCCAAGCCGCACCTAAGAAGAGAAAAAAGATCATGATCAAGCGAACCAGGCCGAGCCAAGCCCGCCAGAACGCAACTTCTAGAGTTGTACAGCAGAAGAACCCTGGATGTTGAAAGAAACCTTGGTTTTGTACTACGAAAACAGCCCCTTCCGAGCCCGACTCAACGTCCAGAATGCGCACGGGGCGAGAACGTGATTGATAGCGCCGCGCTGCACGATGAATCACGCTGTGCAGCGAGAAAACCTTGGAGCGCGATTAGGCCACACAGCCATCTGAAGCGATGTACAGACCTGAACGACTAAAAACCTAACTTGGTGTTTACAATGGCCAGCCACTCCGGGCACGATCTCATGTACCGAATGTGCACGGGGCTTGGGCGAGAGGGCGATGCACAGCTCTGCGCGCCAAGAAATCTGTGGCTTTGTTATTATTATTATGATTTCTATTCTATTATTATTATTATATCATTATAATCATTATATCATTATATTTTCATATTATTATATTATATTATTATATTATCATTATTACGATTATTGTTATTGCATATGAAGACAGCTCTCCGAGCACGGAGCTTAAGCCAGAACACGATTGATAGCGAGCGCCGAGCGCAGTGTTCTGAAACCTTGGGGCTTGTACTAGGTAAACGAGGCTCCCAATTCTGCAGGTACGGCGTCTAGGCAAGAGCAACACGATTTCGAAACAGACCCGAGCCACGCCTTAAAAAAAAAACAAGAAAAGCGAGAGCCCGGTTTGACTCCATGATTTGGAGCAGGAAGGCTTCCGAGACGTCCGAAGCAAGTTCGGCGAGGAAGCATTTGGTCTCCACCATCGGCTGCTTGGCGGCAACTTGTTGCATCGTCGTCGCTGTCGACATCGTCGTCATTGTCCTCCTCCACCATTATCCATTGCATCGTCATTTTTCATTCATCATCGTTCTTATCAGTACCACCTTCTTCCTGCTAGCTTCCCAAAATTTCAGCAGCGAACCGACTTTGCCACCACCGCCGTGGGGCCCAATTCGGCACACTATCCAAGCATCCGCGCAGCTTGGAGACTCAGAGCCGGGCTTCGGTGGCGGAGGAGTGGCGGGAAAGGGCCGTGCAGCTGAGGCCAGGGTCTATGGTTTAGGGTTTAGGGTCTAGGGTTTAGGGTTTAGGGTTTAGAGCTCTGTCTGGGTTTCCGCAACGGTCGGGGGCTTATCCGGTGGTGTAAGCGTTGAGTGGAGACGGTGACTGCCCTCCATCCCTGAGCATCGCGATTTTGATGGTTGCGCATTGGTTCAGAAGCACATGGATCACTTAGAATCCATGGGCTGAGCAAAACTGCGTCAGGACTCCTCGGTTGCATAGCGTCGGATCGTGTTGGGAGTACCTGCGGCACGTCCACTTGTGCTGAAGTGCCCTTAAGCACCTTGCTGAGGTTTCTTGCCCAAGACCTTCTCTCTACCTCATTTGGAAACAGGTCCCAAGGCAACCATATCGAGTATCTGATATTTGGTGCCTTAAGACCTCGGTAGTGTCTCTACCCAGCGCACGATTGCAACTTCATAGCACTCCAATGCCACCACGTGCATGTACTTCTTAGCTTGGCGGTCCTTAGGAGATTAAGAAGCCCCACTCTCGCCTTGGCAGTTAGTTGGCGTTGCTTCTTTGTAATTTGAGATAGTGAGATAGTGAGACAGCTCTGGTGTCCTTGTATCTATTCTGGCTACTTCCAAGAAGAAATACAGCCGAAAACCGACATCCTAACAACATGGACGCAGAAATAGCCCAGAGACTTCATTTCAAGAACAACCGACACGCCCAACTTCAATGCCGAAAGCCTAAGCCTACGCATACACTTCCGCCGAGGTTTTACTTGCATTTTGACTTCATGAACCGCCTGTGGTTGTCCGCTGAGGATGGTTGTGAAGGGCATCCGGCCCGCGTGCCCCGCATACCTTGAGAACGGATCTGAAAGCTGTGGCTTTAAAAAATGACCCAGACCTACCTGATACAAGCAAGCCGGGAGTTCCTTTTTGAAGGTTCTGGTGAGCAGCTTTCAGAATATGGACCTCTGCACCGCAGTGCAGTCTCCATGTATGCGATGTTGCGACACACTTGAGAAATCATGTACGAGCAATCTGCTTGCCACTTTATGGCTCAGATGTACTGTCGTTGAGAAACATGGCCAGATGAAAATAGGTTCGCAGATCTGATCCGTTCATTAGGTCAATTCCCCTTAGTTCTGTCGATCGAGTACTTCAGCCTGCACATCCCTAGTTATAGTCATACTAGCAGCATTTGTTGGAGAAGTTTTGCTGGAGCTTCCGATGGCTTCTTCCTGTGAGCCACATTCGCGCCTTCGGACCAGGAAAGCGACATGTCTTGACAGAGCCTCAAAGCCGTACACCTGTAGACGTGACTGCAAGCTTTGCGCGCCGGTGTTTTGCATGTCAACCAGGAATTTGACACATGTAGTCCCGCGGTGAGTCCGAATACGCCTTTCCATCGAAAAGCCTGTGCCTTCGTGCCCGCCTTGCTGGAAGTGAAGCTTGGGCTGAGGAAGGATCTGGCCAGTACAGCCCAGGGCTCGCTTGGACATGGACCTCTGGTTTCTCACTAGCACTCCAAGGGCCTTGCAAGGGCTTAGGCACCTCCCTTCCTTCCAGTTCAGACTGGGTGAAACTGCACGACTTTACCCGAAAAGCATCCATAAACCCGAAGCCTGTAGCACAGCCCACAATGCCAGATGACTCCATGCAAGCGTCGTGCTCCTCCCTTCCTCTCAGGCCAGATGGGCTGAGACTGTACGACTTCACCCAAGAAGCATTCGTAAACCTTAAGCCTTAAGCCAACGATGCCAGATGACTCCATGCAAAACCTCAACTGCGTGCCGGCACGCAAGTCCACAGCCGGAGTGCAAGCAGAAGGTCTGAAAGGCAGGAAGTTCGCAGTGTACAATCCTTAGCCAACCAAGCCAAGTCCCGGAGGATCAGCAGTTAGGCTCGTCTCCCTGCTCCCCGTCTTCTGCACCTCCCTTCCTCTCAGGCCAGATTGGCTGAGAATGTACAAAAGCATCCGTAAACCTTAAGCCTTACGCCCAGGATGCCAGATGCCTCCATGCAAAGCCTCCTGTGTGCTGTTTGAGGACTTCGGCGAAGATGAGATCGCAGGATTGGGATGGCGACCCGTGGCGGCTGTCGAAGGCTTGGTGGAGGCTTCCTAAACCCCAAAAGCCAAAATAACGCGGAGGCCAATTGAAGAGGCTTCTAGGCCCTCCAGCCTCTCTTAGTTCTTGCTTCCTGAGTGTGAGTGACACGGCCAAGCGGTCCAGGCGGGTGCGGTGTCTTCGGAAAGGTCCGATCAGGGAGATGCTGAGCTAAAGTGTCGGTCAAGGAGCCACTGGAAAACCGTTCCGTCCGTGGGCACGAATGCACTCCTGCTGACCTGACCCTGGATTCTAGCCTCCTGACCATCAAGGGGCCCTGGACTCCTGGGGCTTGGTGCCGTTTCAGCCGGTAGGCCAAGTGCGGGCACCACTTTGTCTTTGTCACATATTATGTGCCACGGATCCCAAGGCTTATGTACATATGTTAAATATGTAGATTGGCCCAGCTGGCCCAGCACAGCAGCACGGGGGCAACCAGCACAGGTCCGAACGTCACGGATCCGAACGCCTCCTCTCACATACAGAGCGGCGTGTTTAGGCGTGTTTCAAGCCATTTCAAGCTGTTCCAGAAGGCAACTTCAGCACCGGCACGCAAGTCCGCAGCCTGAGTGCAAGCAAAAGGTCTGACAGGCAGGAAGTTGGCAGTGTAAAATTCCTAGCCAGCCAAGCACAAGTCACGGAGGATCAGCAGGCGCTACAGGCCCTTTGAAGCCTTGAGGGTCCTTCAAGGCCGGACCTCTGGTTTCTCACCAGCATTCCAGCCTTTCAAGGGCTTAGGCTTATGTCCCTGCTCCCTGTCTTCTGCACCTCCTTTCCTCCCAGGCCAGATTGGCTGAGACTGTACGACTTCACCCAAACAGCATTCGTAAACCTTAAGCCTTAAGCCCACGATGCCTGCCAACTCCATGCAAAACCTCAATTGTGTGCCGTTTGAGGACACCGGCATGCAAGTCCACAGCTGGAGTGCAAGCAAAAGGTCTGACAGGCAGGAAGCTCGCGGGCAGGAAGTTCGCAGTGTACCAAGCACAAGTCCCGGAGGATCGGCAGTGCTTAGGCTCGTCTCCCTGCTCCCCGTCTTCTGCACCTCCCTTCCTCTCAGGCCAGATTGGCTGAGACTGTACAAAACATCCGTCAACCTTCAGCCTTAAGCCCACGATGCCAGGTGACTCCATGCAAAGCCTCAACTGCGTGCTGTTTGAGGACTTCGGCGAAGATGAGATCTTTCTTCGTCCTTTCTCCTGAATGTGAGTAACACGGCCAAGCGGTCCAAGAGGGTGCGATGTCTTCGGAAAGGTCCGATCAGGGGAGATGCTCAGTCAGTCAAGTCTGCCTCCGCCCCTCCGTCCTCGCAGCCCGCCCTGGGATGTTGGGTCGTGTTGACGGATCGCAAGGCTTATGTACATATGATAATATGTAGATTTGCCCAGCACAACAGCTGCGCATGGAATCATGCGCAGTGGCTGTTGGAGCCAAGATTCCCACGACATTCCTTTCTTCAGTTACGCACAACCAGCACAGGTCCGAACGTCACGGATCCTCTCACATACAGCTTGTTTCCACAACGGACGCGGAAACAGTTCATGTGAGTGCACCTGCGTACGTGATGCAGACCCTCACACATGCAGAGCGGCGTGCTCAGGCGTGTTTAGGGCCGTTCCAGAAGGCCTCGTCCAGCGCGACCTAGTCACGCAAGACGTCCGCAGTCTCGACTTCAGCACCGGCACGCAAGTCCACAGCCGGAGTGCAAGCAGAAGGTCTGACAGGCAGGGCAAGTTCGCAGTGTACAATTCTCAGCCAACCAAGCACAAGTCCCGGAGGATCAGCAGTTGTGCTCGTCTCCTTGCTCCCTTCCCTCTGCGCCTCTGAGGCCAGCTTGGCTGAGACTGTACAAAAGCATCCGTAAACCTTAAGCCTTAAGCCCACGATGCCAACTCCATGCAAAGCTTCAACTGCGTGCTGTTTGAGGACACCGGCACGCAAGTCCACAGCTGGAGTGCAAGCAAAAGGTCTGACAGGCAGGAATCTCGCGGGCAGGAAGTTCGCAGTGTACAATTCTCAGGTCAAGGCCTAGCAGTTTCTCTGCAAACCTTTGTTCCCAAACCCTTGTGAACACCAAGCAGTTGGGATGTTGCGTGCCGTCTGAGCACTTCGGCGAAAATAAGATCTGTTTTAGTCCTTTCTTCCTGAATGTGAGTGACACGGCCCAGCTCTCCAAGCGGGTGCGGTGTCTTCGCAAAGGTCCGATCAGGGGAGATGCTCAGTCAGTCAAGCTTGCCTCCTCCACGTCTTCTTTTCGGTCGGCCTCCGCTTGGGTCAGTCAGCCCTGGGATGTTCGGTCGTGTTCAGGCCCATCGTAGATAACTGCGCCCATGGAGCTTGTTTCCACAACAGACGCAGTTCATGTGACTGCACCTGCGTACGTGATGAAGACGTAACATCTCGCTGTGCTTACGCGAGTCCTCGCTATTGGTTCGAAGATGCGGAGCATTCAGCCAGGATTTTTGAACGTGAATGGATGAAGCAGCTTTGGTGTGGAGCAGCACAGAGCGCTTGAGAGTTGAGTGTGAGGCCTGCCTCTCTCTTACACCACGTGGCGTTGGGCCCATGTCATCTCCGAGTTTTGGTGACGTTTTGTGCCCATCCTCAACAGCAGGAGCCGGCCTGTATGTCTTACGCCGCCCTTTAAGCCAAGTGCAGGCACCTCTTTGTTTTTGTCTCTGTCACATATTACGGGCCACGCATCCCAAGGCTTATGTACATATGTAAAATATGTAGATTGGCCCAGCACAGCAGCACGGAGGCACAATTCGGCACGCAGATCCTTGCCCTTCGCTGATGATTCCATGCGCAGATCCTGTTGGTGCCAAGATTCCCACGACATTCCTTTCTTCAGTTACGCACAAACAGCACAGGTGCGAACGTCATGGATCCTCTCACATACAGCTTGTTTCCACAACGGACGCGGAAACAGTTCATGTGAGTGCACCTGCGTACATGATGCAGACCCTCTCACATGCAGAGCGGCGTGCTCAGGCGTGTTTAGGGCCGTTCCAGAAGGCCTCGTCCAACGCGACCTAGTCGCGCAAGACGTCCGCAGTCTCGACTTCAGCACCGGCACGCAAGTCCACAGCCGGAGTGCAAGCAGAAGGTCTGACAGGCAGAGCAAGTTCGCAGGCAGGAAGTTCGCAGTGTACAATTCTCAGGTCAAGGCCTAACAGTTTCTCTGCAAACCTTTGTTCCCAAACCCTTGTAAACACCAGGCAGTTGGGATGTTCCCCCTTAGACTAGCAGCCCCTAAAGGGGATGAGAATGAGAGGGTACTACAACCCCCATGAAGGACCGCTAGCAAGAAGGGGGAGCATCCCCACCCAGCAGGCTCTGCAAGACATCTCCAGCCAACCGCACCCAAGGCACCAAGGCCATCCTTCCCTGGCACCTCTGCCTTTGCGAGGCCTGGTCTATTGGGGTTTCCGAGGGTTCCCTTACTGATTTCCTTATGATAAGGGAGTCCTACTACTTGGGGGGTCAAGATTGGGGGTCCTCTATTTTCGTCCACCCCCATATAAGCGTCTTTGCCAGTTCTTGTGTTTCTGAGCCAAGCACAAGTCATGGAGGATCAGCAGGCGCTACAAGCCCTTTGAAGCCTTGAGGCCCCTTCAAGGCCGTCCTTGCCTCTAAGCCTCTAGGCTCTGTTGGCCCATTCGTCCGGGTGATTGGCCCTGACCTTGCAATGGAAAAGAATAGCAGCATGGTAGCGTGCAGCCAAGCCAATCAACACACGCATGGAAGACATC